CACATTTCTAGCTGTACATAGTTTCTGCTCTCATAGAAATACGCTGGTTTAATTATGGAGGAGGAAGCCTTTTGATATTTAATATTTTCTTTCCATCATTTTTAGCTTCTAAGTATCAGGTTGGTGTATCTTTAGGTTGTATTATGTTAGAGTGTTTAATTTTTAAAAGGTTATTTGAGTTTCTGACTTGAGTTTCATAAAAAAAAATGATTAGATGAATTTAGCTTGGGATTAGAACAGAATTTCTATCAATTTCTGCAGTGGCCCTAAATATGCTCCTGCTATTTTTATATGACATATATATGCAAAGGAGCGTTCTCATCATTGATGATTATTAAGTCAAAATGTCTTTCAACTCTAAAAAATGTTGAAGATGGCTTGTATCCTATAGTATTGAATATGCATCTAAGGTTTAATTCTTATATTAAAAACCATTGCACATCCATCTTAGTACGCAAATTCACTTTCCTTTTTAATAAATGGTAAAATTATATATCCAACAAATTGAGTTTTTCCATTTATAATTGATGATTAGTTAATGTTTGATTTGCATGCCTATTTTATATACCTGATACTACACAAAAATTTCTTGGTTGAAAAGATTCACAGGTGAACTAGTATTAGGAAGCCTCGGGCTAGACAACCCTGGGCAGCTTGGCTGATGGCTCACTCCCAGCAGTCCACACTCAGGGAAACATTGCTCCGCATTGCCCCATTGCTACATGGTTATGTGTGACCTAGCCGGAGCTAGCATACCATGTAAATGAAAATGCAAACTGAACTAGAGTCCTCAAGGGCAGATTTAATGACAGGCGAGCAATCAGCCTTTCCCTGAGACTATGACTAAACCCTCTCCGTTGGAAGGGGTCTAACTGTCTGCTCTGCTCGAAACCATACAACAAAGCCAAAGACAACCTGTGAAGGTGATACTGTTGAGTCCTGAGCACACCCATGGCAGAAATGTATGGTTTCTAGAGAGCCCATGCTCTCAGGAGTCAGGTATGATGGCACATGCCTTGAATCCTAGGCCTTGGGTGACAGACATAGGTCGGCTATTAGTTTGAGGCTAGTGTTCTCTGCCCAGCGAGTTCCAGGCCAACCAGGGCTACATAGTAAGATCCTGGCTCAACTAAATTAACTACTTAATTCTCCTTTTAAATACAATGCCTGATATATTTATCAGTGTGTTAACTAGTTTTGACAGCTGGGTGATTGACATCAGATACGCGGTTATAATCTAAGAATGGAAACTGAAATTTGACATAAAAGTCACCTCCCTTCTTTTCTTTTACTTTTAGTCAGATGAAAAGCTAGAGGGAAGTGACAGTATCAACTATTACATGCACTGTTGCAGTTTTTAAGAATATAAACGGTCCCTCAAAGGAGAAATATTCTTCCCTATTTTTTGAAATTTTCTTTTTATTTGGAAAATAATATTGACTTCTTATAGAAAGCATAGCATGAAGAAAAGTCAGAAGAAGAAGAAATTAAGCTATCTCACTGCTCAGAAGTGTTCGTTTTTTTTCTATTTCCTCCCAGGATTTTACCTTTATTCTGCCCGTCCTGTCTACATTAAAGATCACATTAGAAATAACATTTGCATCCTCCTGTTTTCTCTGAATTCTGTAGCATAACACTCTACCCTATTTTTAGAGAATTCAGATACCCAAAAAATTTTTTCAATAACCCTAAATCACCGAAAATCCAATCTGGTACATTTGAATCAAATGTAAAGGTAAGCTAAACCTATCAACGGTGGGGTGAAAACATGGAAGAGTGGAGGTTTCATTCTTTTTTAATTGTATTGTTGATAATTCAAATGGAGACCAGATTAGCCCCCCACCCCTGCCATTTTTAAAAGCCATTCTTCAGGTTGTAGGTTTTCATCTTTGGTGGGAACGGCCTGCCCTCCCATCGGCTACACACTGCACGATGTTTACACCTACACGTGGCTGTATTTGCTTTGCCTGACAAAATAAAAAGTATTAGGAATTGCCCAGGGAAATACGCCAGAAGATTCTCGGGGACTCTGAACTTTTGCATGTTTTCCCAGCTACACTAGTGAAAAGGGATTTTGTGTGGGAACTTGACATGGGTTGCAGCTGAAGGCCTTTTATATATGTCCTGGGCCTCGATTGGTCCGGCACCATCTACCCTGCAGAAGATTCTAGAATGTCTGTGAATTCAATGGACAGAACAGTTTTCAAAAGTCCAAACTGCTCCGTAAATATAGACTGAATTTTTCACTGGAGGAAAATGGAGATTCTCTGTGTCAGTTTTGTTTGGGTTTGGTTTCTCAGAATGCTAAATATCCGATTTAAAATTTGTTTCTTTGAATGGTTCAACCCTTTATTTTGGTGCAACTTAGAGACAACTGTCGTGACTTTGGAAGACTTTCCCTTTCCTAAGCCGCCATTTGAACGTCTGTGAGGTTTTCTTTAGGTTGTACTGCTGGCAGAAGAGGACGTGGAGCATTAGAAGAAGCAAGTGCCAACGTGGCCTTTGACCTCTTCCCCTCCATCAGCTATAATGGGGAAAACACCCAGATGGACGGTCCCATTTATTGTTAGATAGTAAAGGGCTTTTAAAGCCTTCGCCGCCATAAAGATGCCTGGGATGAGGGATGTATATTTATAGTTGTTTGCGCGTGTAGCTTTGGAGGTCATGGTCAGGCCGTGCATGGCTGGTGCCATGATACTGTTTGACAAAATTCAATTTTAAATGTACTCCAGATCTTTACCTTTGTCTCTGCATAAGAAATCTCTCTGACTTTGGAGTCAACTTCTTTCCAGTTGTCACAGGCTATCTTGATGAATCCTACTGTCATTAACAGCAAACAGTACTTATTTAAGAAAAGGCTTCATAATATCGTCAGACATTTTTGTTGTTGATGATGATGTGTGGCCTGGTCGGGCGACACTAATGCAAGAAGTGGAGGCGTCTTTTCTTCACCTTATCTTGTCAAAATTCTTATTATAAGGTCGTCTGAAAAGTCATAAAAATCAGGAAGGCAAATGGAGCCCAGAGAGATGGTGAGAAAAGCTCCCGGTCCCATTTCCACAACAAAGAGGCTTCCTAGAAACAGAAAGGGAAACTTAGCTTGGAACTTACTTTTTTTGAAACCAACCTGACGATTTGGGATCTCAGCTAAGGATATGGGGGGGGGAAATTAAACCAAATTTTGATATCAAATGCAGAGGTGGGGTGAAATAAAATTTTATTGCAGCTCTCCTTTATTGCTTCCCATAAATACTTCCTACTTTGTGACTTTTGCTGCATTGTGTTCGTTGGCAGCAAGCTCGGCAGTCCTGTGTTTCCAATTAAGAATTGGATGGCTGGCTGAAGTTTGAGGTCATCACTGGGCGTGTCTTCCTCAGCCCTGCCAGCACATCCTTGGGAGAGAAAATGGGATCCTCTGTGTGACATAAAGCGCCGGTGATGTCTGTGGGCTTTGCCTGTCTTTCTTTGTGTTGTATTTGCTTCAGTGTGAAGTTAACTCAGAGCCCTGGGTAATGGTCTCCACATTGATTCTCCTCATGCTGTGCAATTTAGACAGTTGAAGAGGGACCTGATAAGCCCTCTTCCTGTGACCTGGGTATTTCCGGTTTATTTCATCAATACCAAAACTGGCTCATCAGAAATCCCTGCTGTATGGCGGTCAACAGCGACCTCTTTGTCACTAAACTTCTCAGTTCTTCTTGGTCGTCACCTTGCTTTAGTCCTTGGTGGCTCTTCGTCTCTAGACGTGGTCATTCTCCCAAGCTATGTCATGCTCTGCGTCCTTCTCCAGATTTCTGTCTTTAATTTTTTTTTTTTGTCTTTTCTGACTGTTCCTTAAAGGAAAACGTACCCAATGGCTCTATTCTCATCCTTTTTCTTACTGTGCATACACTCCCTTGGTGATCGCGCTCATTTGGTGCTTTGAAGTGTCGACTGTGGCCCCACCTTCCATCTGTAGGAGAAACCAGCTAGAGCAGAGGGAATATTTATCTGATAGTCACGTCCCAGCTTAGCTGTCAGGTCTGCAGGAAGCTTCCCTTGGTGATCTGAAGTGAGTGGAACTTCGTTTCGATGCTCTTAATACAGCGCTTGCCCTGTTTCCCCTTCTTGATGTTTATCACGGTTGTTATATTCACTGAATTATCTCTATCTCCCATCAGTTAGACATCCGAGGAGGGAGACACAGGGTCTGACATGATTGTCTTTGTGTTCCTGGATCTAGCCCAGTCCCTGACTAATGATATTACTGAATAAATATTTATTGTATGAATGAGTAACGGATCATGTCACAGGGGTGTTCTGAGATAGCTGGGGGCAACGATGTATCTGAAGGAATGCCTTCCTCCTCCCGATAATGTCACCAGATTTTGTAGGTTAGAAAACTCTGTCCATAAGCTTTGTTGTGACTGGAGTTTCCTAGACACCCTGGCTCACACCATTAATTCATAAAAGATGAGGTTGCAAACATTGAAGAGAAAATTTAAGGAATTTTAGTGATGGTTAAAATATACTGTAGGATGGTGCTATGAGACCTTACACGGGAATGAAATATCACAAAATGCAGCAATATTATGATCGTGCAGAAATATGTCTTTGTGAGGTACCCTGGAAAGTCAGCTCCTCCGTGCAGGGGTTTCCTCCTGGGTGTGCAGTGGGACTCCGGACTTACTCATCCAGCAATTGAAAACCTGTTATATAGGAAAGAAGTCAACAGGCGGATCCACACTTTTGACATTGATTCGCAATGTTGGCCTCTACAAAATTTCTAATCACAAAGCACATAGTTTAGTTCAACAAGAAAAGGTTTGTTAAAAACCTCAGTGCTTTAAGGAAGTTTATGGTTTCGTATTGGGCCAAGTTCGTGGCTAGTCTGAGGTGTATGTGGACCACGGGCCCCGTTGTAGTGGGACCTCCTAAGATGTAGGCAACAACAGGGATTCAGATGTCTCCTTTGGAACAAAAGACGTACCTATAAAACCTGTAGCTAGAAATGTCAGCTAGTGGGCTTACTCTGGCAACACATATTCTAAAATTAGAACCATACAAGGAAGATTAGCATGGCACCAGAGCAAGAACGACATGCAAATTCACGAAGCATTCCATATTTTTAAGAAATTCAAATTCCAATATCCATTGAAACATCTTATGGGAACACACACACACATACACAATGTCACCTGGCAATAATGAGCTCGTGTCTACCTGTTGGATATGGTAAGATCCAGACCTGTCCAGGAGTGTCTGGTATCCGGGTCAGTAGGGACTTCTAGTCCTGAGGCTCTGGCCCCACCTCATTCACTCAGCAACCTGTAACAAAGTCCTTTTGCCCACCCTACCCCAAATAAACAGCTCTGGAAAGCAAAAGACAGATAGCCCAAAAAGCCACCACATTAAGTTGATGGTTCCAACTATTTTAGCGACTAGCTTTGTGCCCCTCCCTAAAATGAACATTGCCAACACTGTCACCCAGGGACTCTCCGTTTTGATCATGCAGCCTTCATTTATGTACTTCTGACTTTAGCTTAAACTTGGCCCGTGTGCTACGCCTGGGAACAATCTCAGAAACCACGGTATCGAGTATACGGGGCTAGCTTTGCTCACTGCCTGTATCCTCAGATTTGGACTTCAAATCTCGGCTTGGTTTTCATAAGAGTTGTCCTGGAAATGCAATTAAATTCATTTATCTCCCCCCAAACTAGGATCACGCCCACCCCGCTTGGAGAAGGGAAGAGTACAGTCACCATCGGACTGGTACAGGCACTGACCGCCCACCTGCACGTCAACTCCTTCGCCTGTCTGAGGCAGCCTTCCCAGGGACCCACGTTTGGAGTGAAAGGTACCGATTTTCAGAGTAAAATTGAGGCCATAAAAGTTCCAACTGAACATGAGGCACGAAGATAGAATTAAATGTTTGCAAGAGAGCTGGCTGATCATTCCTCTGTATCCCCTCAACACTCAGGCGTCACCCCAAGTTGAACCTCCTAGTGTGTAAAGGCATGCAGAGGTTGCTGCAGGACTGGGGTGTGGAGGTCGTCCATGGAGCCCCAGGAAGCTGGTCCCTTGGCACTGTTGCTCAGGACTCCTGCCTCCAGCAGCATCTTCTGTGTCTTCCCCCCTCCTCCTTCGCCAAGCGGTTTTGAAACTCTGCCCATCTCACTGGAGCTGTATCATCTCAGCCACAGTGAGAGGTCTCTTTCCGTACACACATGAGCTCTTTAGGTCAGGCCCCAAGTCGCAGCTTGTGGGAGTTGCTGTGTGGGGCCAAGGAGCTCTGGAGAGGAGACAACTGGCTGTGTGCAGAGTTGTGAGGAAACTCCTCTCGGGCTCAGCAGAGCTGATGTCTGGCACCTTCCCCTTCATTACTCCTGCTCTGTTGATTTTATCATGAAGTCACTCCTCGGCCCTTACTGCCGCAATTACTGCATGTTCTTGGCAGTGTGCAGTTCTTAACTGTATTTTATTTATATCATTGTTACAAATATTAATAATTCCTAACCCATTAAGTACTGATTCCTCCTGGAGGGCCATGCATTATGAAGCAGATTGGACATGAGACTTATAGCAGAGGAACCAGGGTCTTGTTCATGGCTGTTGTCACCTCTGCAAGGTCTATAGCCAGTCTTCACGTCTCTGAGCCCCATCTGTAGGTGTAAAAGGGCTTGTAGCACCAGGCTCATCCGGCTATTGGGAGACTCAAATAACATGGAAAGAGCAGGCTGTGTTGTAAAATGGCGTTCGCATGTGAGAGACTAGTGTCTAGTATAATAACTAATATTGGGAGGGATAAGCAACCATCAGGTGAATTACCTGAAGTTTATCATTTTTATGTCCGAGGTAGTCACGGTGAATATTTTTTGGTTTTGTTGTTTGACTTACATGGTGCTGAAGATTGAACTCCAATAGCTTGTCCAGTTCAGGCACCCTCTCCTCTATTGTTTAGGGTCTTAGCTGGGGTCACCCTTGTGGATTCTTGGAAATTTCTCTAGTGCCAGGTTTCTTGCTAGCCCCATAATGGCTCCCTCAATCAAAATATCTCTTTCCTTGCTCTCATCTCTGTCTTTCCTCCATCTCTACTACTGTCCCCTCAAGTTCTCCTTCCCCCCTCCCCTTTGTCTTCTCCTTCCTTTCTCCCTACTTCCCCCCACCCACCCATTCTGTTATTTCTGAGGGATATTCTCACTCTGCAGGCCAGGCTGGCTTCGGGTTTGTCGTAATCCTCCTGAGTTTGCCTCCTGAGTGCTCCACCAAGCCTGGTAGGTGGCGTTAGTTTTTATTTCATGTATGACTTAGATGAAACAGAACCATGTAGACCCTAAAGTGAATTTAATAAAATGATCTCTTATCCTGAAATATGTGTTTTATAGTACTGATATTTACCTTTGGGGACGTTTTTTGTTTCATTTCAGACATTTTGCTTGTTTGCTAGGGACTGAGCTTTGAGGCCTCATACAAACTAAAAAAATACTTGACCACTGAACTATAGCCCAGCCTTTTGCTCGCATTTTTTTTTTAAAAAGTAGAACCTTGCTCTGTTGCCCAGGCTAGCCTTGAGCTCACTCTGTTATCCAGCAGGCCTTGAATCGCGATACTCCTCTCAGTTTTTCTTGGAGCTGTGATTGTAGGCCTGTGTCAACCTTCCTTTTTATTCAGAGAAACAGAAGGCCTAAAATGGCATCATTGGATACAGTGTGTTTGTTTCATTTCTGTTTGTATGGATAGAATCTCTGGGACTTAGCAGGCCTCTCCATTGGGTGTGAGTAGCGTCCTTAGGTTTGTGTCTGTTCTGTAACTAAATCTGGGGACTCATCTCATTGTGCTTGCTCTCTTGTCTAGGAGGAGCTGCAGGTGGTGGATATGCTCAGGTTATCCCCATGGAGGAGGTAAGGCTGCGAGATGCCCAGCTGACCCTGGTGACTACATGCAGATATATGTGTGCTTCTTGGTGTGAATATTCACCTTCCATTAATATACATATGTTTTCCTATAGCAAATGAACGATGACCTAGTCCCTAGCTGGAGTGTTTTAGACATATATTATAAACATATATACGTATGTGTATATGAATATGTGTGTATGTATGTATCTGTATACATATGCACATGCATGTGTGCGCACACATACACATATCATACTGCCTTTCTAAATTCCAAAATGGTTCTGTATCCCCAAGCCTGTGTGGACTCAAGCCCATTTTAGCTAAGACAATGTCCTGAGGCCCATCAGTCATCTCTTAGACTACCAAACTCAAAAATGGAGAGATGATTTACTCTGCCAACTGAGGCTACAAATAAAAGCGCCTCAGAGAAAATGGGCAATAGACGTTGATGCTTACTTCTCTAAGAACGCTTCCTTCATCTTGCTTCCCTTCCCTTTCCTCCTGTATCTCAGCAGGACATGTTCACTCCTACCTTGCTTTCTGCATCTACTCATGTGTCAGTCCTGAGGCCTCCTAAGCTCTTGTCTGAGAAGGACACTGTCCTTGCTGGTACCTGTCACTTCTGCGTGACCTGAGAGATCCTAACAGGTCTTTGCTTCTGTTTTGTAGACTATGTATCCCTCATGGTCAAGTTCCTTGAAGGTGCCTGTCCTGTTTTCTAAGTGGCTGCTGAGATGTAGGGTCTCATAAACACTAACCACTAACACCAGTTCCCTGTTTTCTCTTGGTTCTAAGATTTTTCCCATGCATGGAACGTTCTACTCTTTCTTCCTTTGCCCTCACTATCCTGCCCAAGTTGGAACCCCAAGACTCTGATTCACTTCAATAGTCCCCCCCATTCTTCTTTACAAGCTAGGAGAAGCCAAGACCTGAAGGCCGAATTAAGATGAAGAAGGAGGGCTATGCCAGGGAAGCAGGTTAAGGTTTCGCTACCAAATATGAACAGAGTGATGGTGTTGATCTGTGTGGGTCTTCAGCACCAGGGCTCAGTGTGGGACTCATGGATAGCTCTATGTGTCTTATCATACACAGAGGCAGGCAGTTTGTCACTTGAAACTGTCGCTTACTGTGTGTCTGCTCCATCTGTATCCATGGCTCGTAGCTCAGCGCCTGCCATGTAGTAGGTATTGGTTGAGCAGATTCCATACGCAGGCATCAGAGACTCATAAAAAGCTGTATGGAGAAACGTTAAGAAAGAGTTCTAGGTGACCAAGGAATTAAAGGTACTAGATTGAAGAGTGCCAGTCTTGTGAAGAATGAGGCAAGGCGTTTCCAGTTGGAGAAACTCTGTAAGGACAGTCCTGAGACAGAAAAGGACATAGTCTGTTCGGGGATCACACAGTCTCACTGAACTTGACCAGAATGCAGGGTCAGGGTAGGCAGACGAAGCCAACGGAGTAGGCACAATCCAGCCTATAGTTCATAGCCAAGAGGTTTGTTAGGTTTGACTTGAAGCGTCATAGTCAGTTACTGGAGGGTCTTGACAGATTAGCAGGGTCACACTGGGTTGTGTGTGATGATATTAATAATTTCAATCACGAACAAAATGTAGGATGGAATTTTCCACTTGTTGCTTCATGTGGGTCTTTAAAGTGCTACAGACTTTGAAGCTCTTTGGATTGCAGATTTGGAAGTTAGAGATGTGTAAGCCGTAATAACTTTTCCTTGAAGGTTTTTGCAAGGGCCAGGAAGGTAGATGGCTCAGCCATTAAAGGCATTGGCCAGTCAAGTCTAGAACCTGATTTCAAGCCCAGAACCCAAGTAAAGGAGAAAGGAAAGGGACCAATTCCAGGAAGCTGTTCTCTGACCTCCACACACATGCCATGACATGCTGTCACATATATACATGACAATAAGTAAAACTTGACTAAGTTAATTTTAAAAATTAAACTTCCAAAGTATGAGTGTGTTGCTTCCATAACTAGTAAACATGTGTTAACATGAAACCAGCTGTCAGTAATGTTTTCTCCTATTTCATTTTTGTTCCCAAAGTCTTGCTTCATTCCCAAGTGTATTTGATATAATATAGCTTCCTAAATAATGAAAGGGTACAAATAAATAATTGGAAGTGAAGACAGTGTGAAAAAGAAACTAGTCATTAAGCCCATGAGAATGTGTCCCCTTTAGCCTGGAGATGGAAGAATCTATGATAAGAGAAACAGACTCCTCAAT